TGGTGCAGGAGGATAACCAGCCCTCATGTGGTGCCCTCACCGGGTTTCCAGGTCCAATGCTAATTTTAGCAAATATTTAACCTACCTTAAGTTTGTGTCAACACTGAAATGCTTTTAGCTCATTTTGCTTCTTTTTTTTGGCCTGAATCTGAGAAATATATAATATATGGATGTTTTATTTCTTAAAAATGTATATTTTTGATGAAAACTTTTTTGTTCTGACCTTTTTATGGTTTGAGTCTAACTTCACAGCAGAACACTTTTTAGGAAAATTTAAAAAATATTTTTTACTTGTATTATCTTTGTAGAATTGACAGCCACTAATTTTCATGGTTCTATCCTCCTCTGAATCACCTGTAGGTGTTTGGAGGACCCATGGGCCCTGGGGAGAGTTCTGGTGGCCACATTATGCCCGTGGGCAGCCCGGGGATGGGCGGCAGCATGGGCTCCCAGTTCATGGGCCAGCAGTCGTACGGAGATGGCGTGTCTAAAGGCTATGGCCAGCCTGTCATGTATGGACGCCCCAGCACCGCCTACAACCCAGGTTCAGCATATGGAGGAAGGTGAGCTGATTTAGGGCTGCGTCTGTCACACTGATGCTGGGTTATTGCTGGGTGACTGATCACTTTACATCCATAATTAGCTTAATGAATCTTTAGGGGTTCAAAAATGATAAATGCACAGTCCAAGGGGCACCGTAGCTCTTTATCTTGAACATCTCTTTATGTTTTTATTTTTTCATCTAACAGTGATTTATTATCTGTATTGGCCATCAGAAAACTCAATGACATAAACTGCAGTTTGTGGTTCTAACCTTACAGAAGGAATTTTGTAAATAAATCTATTCTTCACCCAATCAGAACCAAGGAAGTTTGAACCAGCTCAGTGTTCTTGCTTTGAAGCTTTCCTTAAAACTGGCTCTAACTGTATTCCTCTGGAGCCCATAAAGATGTTAAAAGTGATCTCCATCTGTTTGATTTTTATGATAGCTTGTTTCAGAATAATTAACTTTCTTTAAGATGAAGATGACATTATTATTGTTTAAAGGCTCTTTAATGGAGCCTGGTGTCAGTTATCCTCTGTTTTTTCTTTCTTTGATCCCTCTCTACCAGACTTTGTTCTCAGTTCCAGTTTATTTTTTTATGTCAACATTGTATATATATATATATATATATATATATATATATATATATATATATATATATATATATA